TATATATATATATATATATATATATATATATATATATATATATATATATATATATATATTATATATATATATATTATATTCTTCCTCAATTACCCATTCAAGCCGTCTCCAGCCATTATTAGTCTCAAAGTGGGTTCCTCGTCATCGAAGTAGTATTTTCATATTTCTTTGATTTCCTTCAGAGTAGCCTGCAGGATCCGCATAATAATAGGATGATCCGCCAGATACTATTCACGGAACAATGCCTTTATATGTGCTTAATTGACTGAGTCTTTACGAGAAAGAGACTAGGCATGTGTTTGTTGATAATCATAATCTTTTTTACAAACAATCAAAGCCAAGTTTGACACTTGAACAAGTGCTCTTCGACTGAAGAGAGAGTTTAGTTAAACGTTTGAGCTATGATCTCATAATCTGGCCAGGTGGTTAGGGCACTCGACTCGCAATCTGAGGGTTGTGGATTCGAATCCCCGTCACACCAAACATGCTCACCCTTTCAGCCATGGGAGCGTTATTTATGACAGTCATTCCCACTATTCACTGGTAAAAGAGTAGCCCAAGAGTTGGCGGTGGGTGGTCATTCTAGTCTTTCACTGCTAAGTTAGGAATGACTAACGCCGATAGCTTTCGTGTAGCTTTGGCGAAATTCAAAACAAACCAAATCAAACTCTCTCAAAATTTGTTTAGTAAGCTGAATGAATCTCTGAATGTCGCCTACTGTCTCTGTGAAAATCTGAATGACTATAAGGTCTCTTAGTATCTGTTAATCTGGTAATGAATGTCAATAAATATATCAAAATACTTGCAATATATATATATATATATAGCCGTCCTTACCCGGCGTTGCCTTTGGTATTACCTGAATAGAGGGCCGATGTTTAGCTATTTTTAAACAGAAAGGATCAAACAAAAGTCTCATGTTTTTTATGTTTCTTGTGAATGGCGCTCTGCATGGCAGATTCTGTCACTGTCTCGGCAAAATTGCCGCTCTTGCTCAGTGTCGGCTTGACGATCAACAGCTTGTCTTCTTCGTTGGCTGTCAAGGCGTATTTCTCTTTCTTGTGGAGTCTCACACTGTCGCTTTTGTCACATACGAGTTGCTGCTTGTGATTGGCAATCAGAACAGTTTTTCTTTTTCTCGACATTTTACTCTGAGGTACGTAATCAGCGATAAAAATGTTTATCCTAATTTACTCCCCTCTTCTTTCCCAAGATAAAATGAATAAAACCAATTAGTTAGTCCCAAAATTAGTTTTGTTTGTCAGTAGACGACAACGTTTGATGGATTTTTATTCTGACACCATAACGGCAGCACACCTTTCTATTAAACACACATACATTTTTCTGACATCATGTCCACTTAAATCAGACCAAAAATCCTGTCCGTCTTTCGTGGAAAAAAAATAGATTACAAAGTTTTCATTGGCACTAAAAATGTTATGGCAAATACATTAAACCTAAGTATGCTGATTTCATATCTTTATAGCTTACTATTATAGGAGCTAAAAGGTGAGAATAAACAGACACAAATTTAGCTTTATGTATTAGATGTATACACAAACAAAGTTTCATCTCTTCAGGAGTATGTGCTATCCACGTGATTGAGGGTCAACAAGGGGTATCATATCCTTGGGCTATCACATAGGTCACCAGCAGAATAGACCACTCTTTCCATCTATAGCCTCTTTCACGCTAAAGCAATATTCCCAAATGCAGAATACGTGTGACACCCTTGATGACTTATCTAGTCTTGTGAATAACTAAGGAAGAGAAACTTAGTGGCTCCCTTGACCAACTTCTACAGTAAGAACATAAACGTGAAATACACTAAAATTTTGAAAAAAAAGTATGAAGAAACTAAAGAGATAAAAAACTTATGAGATGTCCGCATATCACACTTTTCCACTCTTATTCATTTCCAAGCCAACGCAGCTGTCCATAACTTTAAAATCTCAAAACCAATCAAAATTGAACTTGTGCATTGGCCGAGAAATCAAAGTAATTTATTATTGACCCTCACAAGTGCTTGTCCGACAATACAAACAAATAACAAAACAAAAGATCACAGGTTATACACAATGTAATCAACTCTTTAACAATGATTAAAGTATAGAAAATGAAAATGAACATCTCCTTTGGAGAGAGTACCTAAAAAGAAAAAAAAATAACTTTATACTCTAGATTTAAAATACATCAGAAACACAATATAAGATGAGAGAAAAAATCACCATAAAAATAAAACAATTCGTGATAATGAAGTATAAACCTGTCATGAAATCAAATTCAACACACAGCACTCTAATTAAATTATACAAAAAAGGAAACCTACCATGAGAAAGAATAGTAGGGTTTCATCATTCCTCACTAAACATAAAGTACAAAGTAATGGCTGTTCAAGAAGAAATGAAAACACAGTCATAGATATTGTTACGTCTCCGTTTGTTAATTGATTTTCCG